AGGAACGATAATGTGGCCCCCGAAGAAAAAAAGGTTTGGTGACCCCTGTTACGGGTCTTTAACTATTAGCCCACACCCCTAAAATCTTAATTAGTCCATAACTTCTAAACTAAATGAGATATCCAAAAACGTTTAGCGTTTAAGGGCATTGACATACAGACAGGACAAATAAGTAAAGGGTGTGCTAGAGAGCCATACTAGCGTGATGGTCCCCGTAAATCACCTCAAATTTATGCAATATCAATTCTGTCACGCAAAAAACCGACAACATGTTCAGTGTGTTACTCTCGCTCGCTATTCTGCGGTGATTCGGGTTTGCCTGAATTTCTTTTTCCAGTTAAAAAAGTGACACCATCATGACTGGTTGTAAATGTGTTATACATCATTTGTATTGTCAAAACCAGCGCTTAGGCAAAGAGTAACTAAAAATACCAACATGTTTCATCATTGACAATAAATCTTGCAATGGCTAAATCATTAGATTAGATTATGAGAATGTAATTAAGAACAAACCCATACAATAGTGTTTGATACACCTAATAGTATTTCTATACTATATATATATGTAAAAACCACATATACATATATATATATATATTTTGTGATAAGAAATTATGGCAGTGGAAAAACAACCAGACATGACAGAACAGAAACAGACACACCAGAATGATTTAGATACACCTTGAATTACAAGCAACATTTGTAAATACACTGCAAGATGTATTGACACATTTGACGGCATTTCTAAAAAGTACAGACACTGAACATTGAATTAAAGGTCAAACCCGCTGGGCATTAGAGTATGTGAAATCTTCTTTGAATGTCACATTGGATAAATCGTGTTTTGTCAGTTGGATGTGGAAAAAAGCCGCCTGCCCTTCCATAACAGAGATCTTCAAATGATGTTGTAGGTGGCACTGGGTGGGCGTTAGTGGTGGTAGTGGGCCTGATTGTTGTTGTCAATCATTTTTGGAGGTAGACGTTTCCCCAATCACAGTTGTAAAACGTATGTGGATCATCAGGGTTGGGGTATGGCCCATTTTGTCCTCCATAACAGGGGTTTTCATGAGATGTACTGCTGGTTTCAGCTGATCCGGGATAGTCACAAGCTTTTATAGAATGTCTATACACCAAATGTTCTGGCATTTTTGGAGGTAGACGTTTCCCCAATCACAGTTGTAAAACGTATGTGGATCATCAGGGTTGGGGTATGGCCCATTTTGTCCTCCATAACAGGGGTTTTCATGAGATGTACTGCTGGTTTCAGCTGATCCGGGATAGTCACAAGCTTTTATAGAATGTCTATACACCAAATGTTCTGGCATTTTTGGAGGTAGACGTTTCCCCAATCACAGTTGTAAAACGTATGTGGATTATCAGGGTTGGGATATGGCCCATTTTGTCCTCCATAACGGGTTTTCATGAGATGTAATGCTAGCTTCAGCTGATCTTGAATCTTGATTGCTAGCTTCAACTGATCCGGAACCTTTGTTGCTAGCTTCAGTTGATCCTGAAACTGTTCGGCTGGTTTCAGCTGATCCGGAATCTGTATTGCTAGCTTCTGCGGATCCTGAAACTGCACTGCTGGTTTTAACTGATCCGGAAACAGTGTTGCTAGCTTCAGCTGTTCCGGAACCTGTACTGCTAGTTTCAGCTGATCTTGAACCTGTGCTGCTTGTTTCAGCTGAGCCGGAAACAGTGTTGCTAGCTTCAGCTGTTCCGGAACCTGTACTGCTTGTTTCAGCTGATACGGAACCTTTACTGCTTGCGTCGGCTGATCCAGAATCTGTATTGCTAGCTTCTGCTGATCCTGAAACTGCACTGCTGGTTTTAACTGATCCAGAACCTGTACTGCTAGTTTCAGCTGATCCGGAACCTTTACTGCTTGCGTCGGCTGATCCGGAATCTTTATTGCTAGCTTCTGCGGATCCTGAAACTGCACTGCTGGTTTTAACTGATCCGGAAACAGTGTTGCTAGCTTCAGCTGTTCCGGAACCTGTACTGCTAGTTTCAGCTATCACATATATTTTTTTAATTGCTGTTTAACCATTAAAGGGCAGCACATTTCTCCACTGGATATAACACAAATGTATAAACGTAATCAAATTTTGTTGATTATGAGTTTTTACATGTCGTAAACTTACCCAAGCTGGCAATAATCAAACAGAGACCTTGAAAATGACACACTGGTTAGTATTGGATTCAAACTAAGATTCAAAATACCTAGGCTATAACCAACCACAATCGAATACAACTCTTGCGGAGTGAAATAAATATACATTTAAAAAAATATATATCAGTAGAAAGAAAGTTTTCTTTCATTTATTCTAATGACCTACAGTGCATTTTACAGTAACCGGAAAAAAGTAACACTACATCCAATCTGTGGCGGTAAGACACGGCGACAACATGGAACACACTTAAAGAAGCTGACACCTGTAAGGTAATATATGATATGAATTTATGTTGAGAGAATATCTACTGTATCTTTGTTTGCTCTTTACTCTGTGTCACACGGCTGTGGTAACAGCTGACAGAATAAGGCTACATTTTGTCACAGCTGCCATAAGAGTACATTTGCAACATTGACACCCTAGATGAAGCAGTGATATTGTAAATCAGTTAATTTACGCTCACACAGTTCTGGGGTTTATTGCGGTTTCTTTCTTTGCATGTGTCTGTTTCAATTTGATTACTTTTAGTTTGACTTATGACTTTAACGTCTTCCTAATTGTATATCATTGATTTACCATATCGCACAAGCTTAGAACGGTCAGGATTCATTGCTTTTATACAATATCTCGTCTCTATTAGAACTTATTTCGATGTAGATTCGGTGTTTTGGATAAGTAACCATGGCAATCTATCCAGGTAACAAGACCATCTTCTTCATATAACTGAAAACCAAGACGTAACAATGAAGGTAACTTGCAAACCCCAAATTCTGCTTCATGTACAGTTGTGGGCAAAAGTTGACATACACTTGTAAAAAACATAATGTCATGGCTCTCTTTCTACGAGTCAGATTTTTCTCTGATAGTGTGACTGGAACAGATACTTTGTCACAAAAAACATTCATGAAGTTTGGTTCTTGTATGACTTTATCATGGGTTAACAGAAGAAGTGATCAAATCTGCTGGGTCAAAAATATACGTACAGATACTATCAGAGAAAAATCGGAGTTGTAGGAATAACTGGAAACTCAAGAGATCCATGACATTATGTTCTTTACAAGTGTATGTAAACTTTTGACCGCAACTGTACAGACCTCAGCTTAGTCCAACCAAACTTAAAAAGCAAATAGAATAAAAACAACACAGATATTCTCTCTTTCCTCTACTGCACTGCAGTATTAGTTTGTTTGTATTTGTGCAGGTTATTATAATGATACTCTCCGAGATTTCTATAGTCACCTCATTACAGTTGAATGGAGTTCTGTTTAACGTTATAAAAATAAATGATACTGTGTGTTTTGTGAATCATAAAGAGTATTGAGTCAATATTTCATTTAAACTAAGAAAACGAGTAAAATGTCATAAAATGTTATTGCTAATCAAATTATCCACTAAGCAATTAGATTTTGTGTTCAGGCAAATGAGCTGTTTAATATTCTGTGGGGCTGATGATACAACTGCTTGGTATGTAACCACTGGAGTAAAGAAAATATATTTTTGTAATTTGGTTAAGCCGACCCTTTAATTAAATAATTTACTTCATCAGCATGCCTGCAGTTGAAGTGAGCTTGCACATTTTCCCACCGTGCGGTTAAGCTGAAACCATTTGATTCATTTGATTAAGATGCAGTGAAATAAATGTAAACACTAATACCAATAATTTGAAGTCCTCACCCTTAGCCATTCTTATTAATTAATTTCTCCCACAAAAACCTGTTTTTAAGCCAGATTACCGCACATTTTAATACACACTCTCTTGATTGTCTTTCAAAGTAGGTCAGTTTTCAAATTTAAAGGATTTTCTCCATTTTCACATGTATGAACATTCAAATTGTCTAACATTGTACAATACCACTTTGAAATGCCAAAAAATATATAATTGTGCAGCAGGAAGAACATGGTGGTGCCCTGCACATATACAGTATCCCTGTGTTTTATATATGTACAGCAATAGACAAAGCAGGAAAAAAAATTCAAATAGAAGTCGGATCAAAGTAAAAGGTATACTTACAAATGTTAAATAAGCATACACTGTCTCTGCCGTGACTAGTGACTGACTCTGAGGTCTTGCGGCGATGCTTTATATGGAGCTGAATGGGTGTGTCAATTATGTGTAGTC